CATCCGTCCGTCCGCCCGCCCGTCCGGCCGTCCGGCCGTCCGTCCGCCCATCAGTCCGCCCGTCCGGCCGTCCGGCCGTCCGTCCGCCCATCAGTCCGTCCGGCCGGCCGCCCATCCGTCCTGCCATCTGTCCGCCTGTCCGTCTGCTCATCCGTCCGCAAGTCCGTCCGTCCGCCAGTCCGCCCGCCCGCAGTTGACCGATGACGTTGGAGGGGGGCGGAGAGCTGGGGCTTCGGCTGATGCGCGTCGCATGTCGGGGCGGATTGCGGGCGACCTCACTGCCCCGTCCTCGTCCTCGTCCTCACGAGGTCTTCGCTCGCTACACCGCTGCCGGCGACCGGCGGTCAGCAGACTTGGGCGGCGGTCACAGTGGAGCCGAGTCAGGTCGAAATGTCGATTCGATTCCTTTCGATTCGATTTCTTTCGATTCGATTCCTTTCGATTCGATTCCTTTCGATTCTATTCGATTCCTTTCGATTCGATTCCTTTCGATTCTATTCGATTCCTTTCGATTCTATTCGATGGTTCCTTATTATTAGCGCTGTGATTTATATGCATTAGCATTTTTTTCTGTTAACTGAATCATCCCGTTTGAACAAATTGTATACGTTTTGAGGCATTTAGAATCCATTTGATCTATTTTTATTTCGCATAAATGGCGATGTAACGGTTAGCGTATCGGACTGTTATACCAAAGTTCGCGGGTTCAAACGCGATCGAAGCTGTGGGTTTTCAGGGCAAAAAATCCTTTATACGATTTCCTTCGGAGGGGAAGTAAAACCTGCTGTCCCATGTTAGTAGATTTACTTGCATGTAAAAGATCCTCAAGCCTAAATGAAGCCTTTGAGCTAAATCGTCCGTTTCGTCGCACAGGTCTTAGCTTGCTACTCGAGCGACTTCGTACGAGCCAGGCAACGTCAATCCGTGGCTATGGCAACGTATACAAATCCTCGGAAGTCCATTGCTTCAGAGCAGGTCACATGATGTACCATCGCAAGTGGTGAGATAACTGTCAGAGCCGCTTACATGCTGACGGAATTGTAACTTTTGGGTTTCCTTTCTCAGTGAACATGCAAATATGGACCAAATAGGCAAATATTTTCGTTGTGAGGCTCTTGCCATGTGACCTGCTCTTCCGCCTGACCACGCAAATTTCGCTATGCTCCTGCCAACTAGCGGAGAAAGGAGGTATCAATCGGGTAACGAAACAGGCGATTTGAATTTAGATCGGAGGATTCTTTTGATCTACAAGATCTTTAACATGCTGTAAATCTCCAACATATAACAGTCACCTTTACTTCCCTCCCAAGAGAATGCTTATGTAAGATTTTTACTCCTGAAACAGTGAATAATTATCTCTAAAATAAGATTCTTATTAAGATTTGTATGATTCTGGTCGCAAACATCGGGTCTACATTCCGATAGGGATACAGAATGTAGCACCCAAACATCAAAACCTGTGTGACTTCTACATAATGCGAGTGGAAAAACAACTAATTTCACAGAATGGCATTTACATTGTCGTACTATAAGTTGCCTTATCTGTTCAGTCTGAAACATCTCTTCGCTTACACTCTACCTCAGCTACTGACCGTTGCCACCTTAAACATATTTTTTCACGTTTTCTCGATCTTGCGGATCCACAATAGTAGAATTAGAATATGGATTTGAGAATATTATAGAGTGGTAAAATTTGATCCTATTTGGAACCCTTTCATAGAAACATGTGAAACTATTTTTTACGAAAATGTCGTTTGAGTGTTTTGAAGCACTTTTTTTACCTCAAAAATTTCGATATTTCAAGAAACTTCATAAGAATTTACTTGAAGGAGTTATACCCAAAAATGCCACAATGTTGAAGAAATGTCTGTAGTATAAATATTGATTGAATGGGAGATAGTTAATAAAAATTATTTAAGTTATGAAAAAACAAAAGCATGCGTCGAAGACATTATTGTCATGTTATTTAGTACATTTAGCACGTTATTTGCACTGGCTCTGAATAGTAAATCCGAAAAAGTTCACCAACATCAGCAAACATCTCATTAGTTACGTTGCAGAGTTAGAATAATTTTATAGTCAGATATATTAGTGTTTTTAGTCTGTCAGAAATGCATTATTCCGCTCTTGGCCAATGCCGATGTTTGACAACCACTTATTTGTTATTAAAAATCAAAGTTATCCGTAATAATTTCACTTATATTAGCGAACTGGAAAATGTGGGTAAATAAACTTTGTCCTTCTCCTGCTTCCAAAAGGTCACTTTTTGCATGCTTGCAGGTTGCTCTCAGTATTACCAACTGATCTACGTACTCACCAACATCAATCACGGTCCTATTTATTGGATCTGAGGACAAAGCTATGTTTATTATCGGAATGTATGCAAATTCTTTCGATTGTTTGCATGGCATTCCTGCTTATAAAAAGTTTGTAATAAATATTGCTATTAACACCCTTGTATTATTCGTGTGCGAGAGAAAATTTTCTTTAAACGTCATATGCATCATTGTTTCGTCAGACTCCTCCTAACTATTTTGTCTCCAATGCAAATATTTTTTCTATAACTGGAGAACCAGAATGTGCAGTTTTTCAAATGTTGC